GAGGGGATGGCAAAGGGGCTGGGAGGGGATGGCAAAGGGGCTGGGAGCGGCGGAAAAGCGACTGTGAGGAGCAAAGGAGACACCAGAGAAACCTGAGAGACGCTAACGAGCCAAACCGCGGGGAAAGGACACACGGGAGCTCCCGTCTCCACGGGAAGCACCAGCTCCAGCTGCGCGGGGGGCGGACCGGGAGGGGCCTCACCGACACCCGCACTCCTCTGCCACCATGTTGGGGAACTTGCGGACCTCCAGCCCCTCGGGCGAGAGGCTGATGATGAGCTGGTCGGAGTAGCGCACCGGGACGCAGCAGGGCGGGCGCTGCAGCGGCGCCCCCCGCTCCTGCATCCCCAGCAGCAGCACCGTGTGCGAGTAGTAGCTGGGCACGCGGGTGGACAGGGGCAGCCTGCAGGGCCCCTCGCAGTTGTTGGCCGCGTACACGGTGGGCATGACGATGAACTTGCGGTCGTGCAGGTCGATGGTGAGCTCCTGGAGGCGGCAGTGGGCCGGGGGCCGAGCGCTGCGGTGCTGCCGCTGCACCTTCCTGCGCTCCTGCCAGCGCGCCCGCACCGACTGCAGCGCCTTCAGCAGCAGCAGCGTGTGCAGCTTCCTGGAGCCCGGCACCCGCTCCGGGGCCTCGCCCTCCTCCCCGCCCCGCGGGAAGTAGCAGAAGCTCAGGAGGTGCTGGAAAAGCGCCGTGTTGGCCTGGAAAGCCGGGATGTCCCCCAGCTCCTGGATGACCCCCCGCAGTTTGCCCGTGAGCAGCTCCAGCACGGTGCCCTCGGGCTGCCAGTGCCCCAGGAGCTGCTCCAGCACGGCCCCGCTGTCCTGCGGGAACAGCAGCACCGAGGGCTCCTCCGACTGCACCAGCCGCTCCAGCGCCGCCTCCCCCGACAGGTTGAGCAGCTGGTGAGGGAGGGTCTCCATCGCCTGGAAGTCCAGCCAGTGGTGGGCGCTGGGCTGGGGGGGCAGCTCGCTGGAGGAGCTCAGGACCTGCCGGATGAAGCGGGTCAGCATTCCCAGGAATTGGCTGCTGCTCCCGGGAGCTGGGGATGAAGTGTTGGCCTGGCTCGGGGCCGTGGGGATCGGCAGCTCCTCGGTCCCGGCCTGGGGTGGGCTGCAAGGAGAACACAGGGAGGGTCAGGGGGTCCTTGTGTACCCTGGAGGTC